GATGGTTTTAAGCAGTCTTTATTGAAGAAAGGTCCCTGTTCCAAAAAGGCAATGCGGGTACACACTCCCCTGCGCGCCCGGTCTGCCCCGGCCTTGGGTGCCCGCTTCCCCTCTGTCTCCTTGGGTGCCCGCTTCCCACCTCTGACTCCTCTGGGAGCTTCTGCCAGTTTCACACTGTCTTTACTGAAGAATGGTCCCTATTCTAAAATGGCAATTTGGAGACAGGCACACTCTTCCATGTGCCCGGTCTGCCCCAGCCTTGGGTGCCTGCTTCCTCTCTGGGCTCTGACTCCTGGCCAGAAGGATCCTGGCTTGGGCGAACTTTCCAGCTCACCTCTAACTCCTCTGGGAGCCTTTTGCCGGTTTCCTGTAAGATTTTCAAGTAAAAATCCATTTCTGAAAATCAGCTCAGTAAATTGACATGCCTTTTACACGAAACTCACCCTCGCCAAAACACTGCAAATTAGAGACATTATTTCATACATCTCAAATTGGAGAAAAGGCGATTTTGGGGGAAGAAGCCTGTGATCTGCTGGTATTACTAACATAGACAGAGTGGGCACCACAGAGGCGTTGTCCAGCAAAGGCATCTCACGGAAGAACAATTTCTTCCACCCCGGAACACTCACTGAGATCGGACACCAGCTGTGTGCTGGTGGACCATTTGTGACAATGAAAGGCTAGAAAATAGGAGAAATTCAAAATAACATGGAGCGCTTGATTTTTAAACCTACTTTATTAGCATGCCACCATGCTAATATTTTATTAGTAAAATTGAGGGGAAAATAAAGAACTTTTTAAAATTGCACTTAATTTACTTACCATTTACAAGCCACAGAGGAACATAAAACATACTCACGTTGCTTACAGATTTCCTGCTATCCTTAACATCTAACTGGAGGATATTTCCAATAATAGGAAGCGACAAGAGGCCAGGTGGGAGCTTCCCTTGCCCAGAAGTCTGTTTCCAGAGAGCAAGGAGGAGCAAACAGGAGAGACAGAGCATTAGGGCCACACCCAGGTCCATCGTAGCTTTCTCTCTTATCAGAAAACAAAGGGTAAATTGTCAAACTTTTTTAACAACACCCCTGTTATTTCAACATGTGCGGCTCTGAGATACAAGAAGCCAATAGGCTTCATCTACTCATATTCTCCTCTAAGTGGCCTTTGGTCCATGGATAAAGATAAAAAGAAATTGTTCTTTAGTCTTGTTTTCTATCTCTCCAGTCATGACTCTGGACCTTTTGTTCAACTGTACTGCACTAAGGATACTTATTGAGAAAGAAAGAAAGAAAGGAAGGAAGGAAGGAAGGAAGGAAGGAAGGAAGGAAGGAAGGAAGGAAGGAAGGAAGGAAGGAAGGAAGGAAGGAAGGAAGGAAGGAAGGAAGGAAGGAAGGAAGAAAGAAAGAAAGACCAGTTCTAAATGCAGCCAGGATTCAGACCATGTCTTGTAAATAATTTTATACCCAATGACCAAATCTCTGGACTCAAGGCCATAACCAATAGGAAATATTTTAATTTGAGGAAAATCTGTATTCTATGCCTTTATATAGAAAATAATTAAGTTCAAGCTATATTAACATAGGTTATTTCCCTGTGGAAAATGAAAGGATTTAAATATTTTTAAATATTGTATTTATACTACAGTTGTCTACATACAAGTTAGCTAAAATAACTTAAACTTCAGTGACCAAGCATACAACTAGTTAAAGTGAAATAACTCAGAAGGAGAAATACAAATACCAGACGTGTCACTTACGTGTGGAATACAGAGAAACCAACCCAAGCTTTGGTTAAAGATAAAGCCAAATGTAAGAACTAACCCTTGAAAGCTGACTAGAGAACTGAGGCATTCTGTGGTTGAGGGGATGGGGAAGTGGTGAGGACATAGCGGGAGGAAGCACAATGATTTTCGGTGGTGGATGATGAGTACTTCGATGGTGGGAGCACTGTGGTAGCATGCCTAAACCCCAGCTCTTGTATGCGTGAATAAATAAAAGGAAAAAAAGAATCACCATTTTATCAGTACAAGACCTTTTCTTCTACTTTCAGATTTCCCCTACCAGTTCAGTGACATCTCATATGAAATAGCTGTCCCATCTCTATCCAATGACCAACAGGACATTAAGCTTTCTGTGGTCAGAGTAATGTAAACCTCACCTTGGCTTAGACTTGTCATGTAGGGGTTTTCTTTTTGTTAAAGGACTATATATTTTTTAAAGTTTTAGGTTCAAAGCACAACTAAACATTAAGTACAGTTCCCACATACCCCTCTCTACCCACATGAGTCTTCCCAACATTAGGAAGATCACCTCCAGAGTGATGCATTTGTAACAACTGATGTAACAACATTGACCTTATAAAGTGCATACAAGCTACTCCCGGCCTCTGCAAGGCGCCAGTCCATCGCCAGCTGCTCCCCGGCCACTGGAGGAGGGTCCCACATGGCGCGCAGACCTCTCCTGCAGCACACTGCTCCCCTCAGCAGTGTACTTCGGTCCTCCTGCCTGTTCTGCTCCCCGCTCTGGCTCTGGTGAATTCTCTCACCCTCCCGCGCTTCTGACCGTACCCAGTACTTATATGTATAAACAAACAAACAAACAAACAAATAAATAAATAAATCTTAAAAATAAAGTGCATAGTGTTCCCTCAAGTGTTGTATAGTCTATGGATTTTGATAATATAGGAGGGCATGTATCCAACATTATAGTATCACACAGAATACGTTCACTGTCCTAAAAATCCTGGGCTCCATTTCTCACCATTCCTCTATCTCACTCTGACAACCACTGATCAGTGGTTCAGACAGAACTACAGCTCACATCATACTCAAACACCAACACCTAAGGAAACCAGTCAGAGCAAGGCATAGAAAAATCCAAATTCGGGCCACCCAGTGCAGCATTGTGAAGCTGTCTGCAGCCCCGCAGCGCCGGTTCAATTCTCACAAGGTCAGGGAGATACCCACATGGGGGGGCAGACTTCTCCTGTCTCACCTGCTGCTCCCCTCACCAGTATACTTTGGTCCGTTTGCCTGTTGTGTTCCCCACTTGTCTCTGGTGAATTATCTCACCTTCCCGCACATCTGACCAGTACCCCAGTTCTTATCTAAAAATGAATAAACTTTTAAAAAAAAATAAAATTCCATGAAAAGGCCCAAGATCTTTCCCAGTCACTCCCCTTCCTCAAAATTAACAATGCTCTGGATTCTAACACCACAGATTACGTTTGCCTCATCTAGAACTCGATAGAAATAGACACTTTTGAATCACTAATGTCATATTTTTCTTCAGATGAAGCTGCTCCTGAACACATTCTCTCACTTGCATTTCCAAATCGCAAGTAATTCTAGGTGACATGCTGGTCTACCCTCAAGATTTTGTCCTTTTCTGTGCATGGTCTCTTTGTAAAATATTTTCTTCCATCTGCTATCTGCATTATACACAAAGGAATGAAAGCATGAGAACTGGTTCATCAGATTGTGAGTTTTATTTAGAACATGCAAAAGAAAAATGTCTGTATTACATACACCAGTCATCTCACTGTTACACTGATGACACAGAACTAACTACTCAACCAGATTAAGTGTTAGCATTTGAGATGCCCAATACAATGTTACAGAGCAGGAGAATAGCTCTATCTGTTAAGTGAAACATGTATCTGTTTAGTGAAACTGGAAATCCTCCTTTAGTGGAGATGGATGTTCCTGCCTGGATCCTGACAGAATGGGGTGATGAGTAGAGGAGAGGTTGGAGATGACTTTTCTAGAAAAGGAAGGGAGAGAAAAGGAGATGACAGGGGCATCAGGTGAGTGGGAGATGTGGACATCACAGCAGAAGCCTCACAAAGGAATGAAGCAGATCTGGTAAGGAGGAGGCAGAGAAGCCAACCCATTGACAACTGCGGTGGTGTCAATGTCCTTGGGTTCAACAACAGACTTCAAGGTAAACTTCTGTAAGATGGTGGTCAGGAATAAAAACAGCTCCATGCGGGCCAGGCCCTCTCCTGCACATGCCCGTTTTCCTGAAAATAACAAGCGCACAGAGGAGATGATCCTTGAACACTGTGTTTCTGACGTCAGAAAAGGAATGTATAACATACTGGATGGTATCACTTACAAGGAGAATACAGAGAAACCAAACAAAAGGTCAAGAAAAGTCAAAACTAGCAGCTGACCACATAACTCAGCCACACACCACAGGATGGGAGGGGAATTGGGGAAGGAGCAAACGAGGGGAGGGATGAATCCAAGGGATATGGGGATGGCTGGCGGGTGATACAGTGGCAGGAGAACTATGGGGAATACGATGATGTATTGGAAAGTGGAAATGGAAAAAAGAGAAAGGGAATTTCAATAAATATTTGATGACAGGGTGAATGGATGGATGGAACGGGATGGTTGGCTATAGTTGGACAAAGGGTTGAAACACGTGCTCTGACTTGAATGTTAAAGGAACAGGTACCCTCCTTACAACAAATGTTTACTCAGTATCAGCCCTGTACCGAATAGTTCATTAAGGATTCTCACATTATAACTGCCTGTTTGACACCTCAATTTTCCAGCTGTATCTTTCTAGAAACACATATTTTGGCCGTGCTTTCTTCTGCATGGATCTGGTGGCTCATGATCTTCTCATTCTTCACTGTCTCAGTTCTGCACTCCACATAGACCTGCTCTCTGCCACTCTCCAATGCACCGCAAAGTTTTATATTACAGTGCTGTTCCTTTGGCAAGATGCATGACTCTTATATTTTCAGGCCCTCATACTAAATCATTTCTGAATTTGAAAAATTGGATCAATTCCCCAGTTCTGCAGTGATCTGGCTCAACAAGAAGACTGCATCATGAGGAGGGAAAGTGCATGGACACAGGGTTTGGTGCTCCTGCTAACAGACAAGCACATCTGCACCAGCCTTGGAGAGGGTACTGTGGAAGCTCCTAACAATCCTCACAAGGTATCTTGTCCTCTGATGCACAAAGAATACAAAAGATACACTACCTGCTGAAAAAGCCATGAAGTAGTCACTCTTCTTAAAGTTGCCACTCTCGTCCAGGAAGTGACCAGGATCAAACACCTCTGGGTTGGGGAATTCTTTGCTATCATGCAGCACAGAAGTCAGTGACACCAATATGGTGGTGCCCTGGAAGAAAAGATTTAAAATGTCTTCTGAAGCCGTGGAGCTTCATGAAAAACCACAAGTCATTTAGTCCAATCTTAGCATCTGAAGATTAAAAAAAGCCTAACACCATGAAGGAAAGGGCATTTTAAGTCAGCCAGAATATGTAATAATAAGAACGAGCATATGACCAGTGGCAGTGATGCTGCTAAGTGGCACCTGAAGTAGTGAGTGCCCGGGCCCTCAGTGCCAGGCCTCTGAAGTCATTCTGTTCATCATATTTAGACCTGGGGGTATTTCCTCGTCAGTACCTTGATTTTATCATTTCACTGTTTACTCATCTCATATATGGATTATGCTTACAAATGGAAATCTCTATCTAAGCTTGAAATGTCTGCAGTTATCCATAGACCTTTTGTAATCAGACAATCAAATTAAAAATAACTTATGTGATAATAAAGTAAGTACAGTAGCAACTATAGTGTTTTTATCACTGTGCCAGCAAGTGGTTTCTATTAATTCAAAAATATGGGGTATGGAGCTAGAAGGAATTATGCTCACTGAAATAAGCCAGAAGGAAAAAGAAAAATATCAGATGATTTCACTTATAACTGGAATGTAGGGGAACCAAATAAGACTTCAGTGTAAAAAAAAATAATAACAGTACAAACCACAACAAAGCAAAAACAAACAATTATAAACCAGAGACATACTGCAGGGTAGGAGGAGGGAGAGGCGTGAGAGGGATGGAGGGAGGAGCACAGGAGACTGTGGTGATGGTGCATGTGTACCATAGGGAAGGAAATTCTAGGGGGGACTCAATCTGAGGGGGTGGGGGAAGCAAATATTGTCTAAAAAAGTGCTAAAAATGATAAACGCTAAAATAAAAAAATATATGGGATAGATTTCATCATAGATTGATCCCAGCCACAGACAGAAAGGATGACAAAAAGAGGAATATAGTCATTTTGCAACAACTATCTTATGATCATTAATTCAATCGATTGTTATTAAAGGATTTAGGATTGGATGAACGGTTAGGTAGCACCATACTCACAATCTGGCAGGTACCACGATATTATGTGGGGAACATAGCATGGACATAATGGAATAAGTGACTTCATGTGCCCTCAGCTGCCTCACTGGGTTTCAGTGGGACATTCAGAGCACTATGTAATTCTCTGGGCAAAATCATAATGGGACTCTAGTCCCTAGGAAACTTTGCCCAACATAACTCTGAGGAATATTTTTATGACCACAGCCAGACTCTTCACAAAGCTGAATGAACTAAAAGAAACAAACAGAGCAAAGACAACTGACCCAGAAAAATAAATAGAAAAGACAAACAAACTACATGTGGTTCCTTGATGGAATACAGAGAAAAGAAAAGTTATTCTGGGATACTTTAGGGAAGCTGGGAACACTACATAGGCTGCACATAGGCTGCACATTAAACATTATTTCATAATGGTAACTCTAGTGAAATCTGCTTTTCTGTCTATAAATCGTTATTTGGATATATACATTGAAGACCTGGGGTATGCAGGGTAGATGATTTCATCCATTACATATACATGTATATACCTTTAATGTGTTCAGATTTTTTTAAATTTAATGCAAATTTGTAGAAAATTCCATTCCCTAAGTTTACCATATAAAAATTCTATATTTCTATTGGAAAAATTATTCTGCTTATATTGAAATAATCAAATATGAAAAACGTTTTTAAGATACAAAAAAGCAAAAAATAAATACAGCCAATATAACCTCATCAAATGTTGTTCAAACAATGGATACTCATACAGAAGCATGACCACTACTTCACCACTGCTTTTGCATGAGTAAAAATTAGTTGAATGGATCAGTATTAAACATGGGAACTAAAATGATAAGTTTCAAAAATAGATGAAGGTAAACCTTGGATTCTGGGCTGGAAAATTTCCTTCAGATGGGTCCCAGAAAAACACAAATCACCTCACATCATTTCAAAGCGTGCTGTTAGACAGACACGGAAAAATAACAACCCATGTGCAATCAAGTCTATCCTATGTTTTTGGTTAGCCCAGGAGGTAAGCATTTTCCATTGAAAAAAACTGAGGCAGAATAAATATCTTTGGTACATGAAAAGTGTATGAAGTCTAAACTTGGGCTTTCATAAAATTGAGCAGTTGTCACCACATTTGTTTAAAAATGTCTGTGATGGATTCCCTGCTACAATGACAGATGTCAACACTGGCATCAGATACTCCAAGCCCCATAAAATTTGAAATGTTTAAAATCTGGCCCACTAGGGCAAGTTTTTTTACCAACTTCTGTCTTAGACTGTACCTTGATCCGTGGATCCGGTTTGGATTAGAAAACATTATGTAAATGGTAGAAGACACACTCAGCCCTGCAGTGCTGCCTAGTCTATGTCAGTGTATCCCAAAAAAAGGGGAATGATAGTTCCCAATTGGGGCAGATGGGAAACATGTACAATCCTACTTAGCCCAGTGCCCTATTGTTATTGGCCTTGAAATAGCAGAATGAGTTCAATTAAATATTGCTCTTTGACCCCAATATTCGACAAGAACTCTTCTCCTCATTATGTCCTATGGTGAAAACAGAGAATTTGATCCTAACCCCTGGAACAAACTGTAATCATCAGGAAAGTACACCACCAATCACAAATGTCTCTTACACATATAAATAGAAAGGTGCTATTATCAAAATTTGGTCTCAAACAGAAACAACAAAAAACCTATCAACCTGACATATGATTTTTATAATTTGCTCATCTAGTCCAGAGGATTGGACCCATGCTGTGAAAAGAGGAACTTCGGAGTAGAATCATGAGTCAGTAAAAGAACAACCAACCTACCTTGGGGATGAAATAGTTCCTGAATCTGATGTCACGGGTCACTGCATGGGGCAGGGGCATGGGGACGATGTCAATGTGTCTCTGGACCTCGTGCACCAAGGCTTCCATGTAGGGCATGTGGCCCTTGTCCTGCATGCTGGGGCTCCGGTGTCTGCCAATCACACGTTCTATCTCCTCCTGCGCCTTAGCTGATAAAACACAAGTAAGACTGATGAGAAAAGAGAACACCTATCACATCTGCATATCAGTCAAGGGATACATGAAGCTTTGTATCAGTCTCACATTAAAAACTTCAGCCCTGTACCAAGAAATATACCTAGACCTAGAGGGATAATAGCCACAATATAGATACATATAACTCTCTTATAAGCTAGAATTAAGATATAAATTTAATACTTATGTATTAGCACAAATGCAAATTTCCTACCTATGATGCCAGAGTTGTTCACTCTCTGGCTTTATTCTCCTACTGCTGAATTTCAGGAAACAAGCTAGAAAAGGAGCTAAGATTCTCTGAATTCAAGAAACAGATTTTCTTACCTAACCTATTTCCACCTGCCAGTGTCTCTGAGGGCAAGGTGTTTTCTTTTTCTTTTTTTTTTATATAAGAACCAGGGTACAGACCAGATGCATGGGAGGGTGAGAAGACTCACTAGAAACATAGTGGGGAGCAGCACAGGCTGACTGATGAAATACACTGCTGAGGGGAGCAGCGGGCGGGACAGGAGAGGTCTGCAGTGCCATCTGGGACCCTCACTGCAGAGGCTGCGGACAGCTTCACAGTGTGGAGATCAACCACCTGCACCACCAGGGCAGGTCCGGAGGGCAAGGTCTTTTAGATTCAGCTTCTCTACATATTTTTTTAAATTCTTATTTATTTATTTATTTGTTTGTTTGTTTATTTGTTTATTTATACAAGCACTGGGTACAGTCTGAAGCGTGGGAGAGTGAGAGAATTCACCAGAGCCAGAGCGGGTAACAGAACAGGCAGACTGACGAAATAACTGCTGAAGGGAGCAGTGGGTGTGCCAGGAGAGGTCTGCGGGCCATGTGGGACCCTCGCCCGCGGCTGGGGATCGAACTGGCGCTGCAGAGGCTGCAGACAGCTTCGTAGCCCAGCACTCAACCGCTGCGCCACCAGGGGAGGCCCCCAACTTCTCTACATATTAAACTTCTCTCATTCTATTGGATCAAAACAAATACCTGATAAAACGAGTTGTGGAGGGAATCTGGGCAGGGAAAGTTACCTTCTGCCTCCTTCTCCTCATTCTTTTTTGACTCTGCCAAATGCTGCAACCCAGCGGGATACAAATGACTTCATATATGTCTTCTTCTGACATTTACATGACAACTTCCACCTTTCTACTAAGTCACCATCACTGATCAAAATGCTATTTGTGATTTAGAAACTGTATTTGGTAACTGTTTCCTGAGTTAGTCTGTCTAGATTTCAAGGACAAATTCTCATTTTTCATTGGCTATAGTCATTTCAGCAGGTTCCTCACAGGATAATATAATGCATGCTTCTATCCATAATGCATAACTGCAACTTATTAAATGTAAAACATAAAGATCTTTGTAAAAGACAGAAAAGCACAGGCCCGCAAAATTCATTTTGGCAAATATCACTTTACTGGACACAGACTTCTGAATTCAAAACCTTATGCACATCTTAAGACTGAGTTGTAGAAACACACATATGTGATTTAATTTTTTGACCACTTCCTTGACTGCAGAAATTATCTCAGGCAGACAACAAGATTTCAAAGCTTTCCACTTATGTTTAATAGGGAAATTTTCATTTTTTTTAACCTGGCTTTAGAACATGCATTTTCAGAATAGGAGAGATCTCGGATAATTTACCTACTTTCAAAGGGACCTTTTCTTAGGAAAACCAATATGCAGTCCCAGGTTGATTCATATGGACGTGCCTGCCGCAAATAAGCTCCAGTAAAATACAGTCACTACCTGATGGCTTTTCTGACTGCCCATGGAGACTTTACTCCTATTCATCCTCCCATATTATATAAAGATGTCCCATTATTATATCTTCATTACACTTGGGAACATTAAGCTCGTCAGATAGATAATGAAATAATGAAGGTTCTCTAAGAGAAACAGGAGGCAATGAGCACTTGCAGTGTCTTTCAGCAACTTCCCTTAAACTCACCCTGCACACCACATTGGTCATACCTGTGACCTCTGGGTGCTTCAGCAGCAGGAGGAGATCATATCTCAGGGTGGTGCTCGTAGTCTCTGTCCCAGCTCCAAACAGATCAAATACAGTAACTGCCAAGGATTCTAGAGTGAATTCCGAGTCTTGATTGTGTTTTTCCTAGGAATGACGAAATGACTTGACAAATTATTTTGCCAGAATTATAGTTAGTCCAAAAATACTCAAACTGTTACAAATTTTTCACCAAAAAATCAACTGCATGTTCAGTTCTAAAAAAATTCCCATATGGTATTCAAAACACTGGAGGTCAGTAGACTCAAGTATCATTTTCTACTGCCTCACATGTAAGGCAAGCAAGGTGTATCAAACTCTTCACTGGCTTCTTTACAGAAATTACATTATGCTAAATTCATAATGAAATACAAGGGAACCAGAACATCCAAAACAATACTGAAATTAGTATCTAGAAACAAGATCAATGTATTCCACTTAATTAGCTGTTTAATTTTATGACTTCCAGAATACTTAGTGTACAGGCACATACAATGTAGGTATGAAAGAGCTTGGAAGGCTTAGCCACTGACCATTGAAACATCCCTGATAAATACAGAACAATTCCATGAACCATAATTTACACAAGCAATTAAGTAGAAAAACAACTGTCATTAATTTTTACCTTTTCCATTTTGATAAGGAAGCAATCAATAAAGTCCCGAGGATTACTAATATCAAGAGAGGCTTTGTGTTCCAATGTTTTCTCCAAAATATAACTTTTTATATATGCAGTATTTTTAAATATTTTGTTATGACTCCCGGGAATGAAGTCAAGGAGAATAGGGAACATATTACAGATCTAGAAGAGAAAATTAGAGTTTACTCAATAAAAAAAAATTACTGAAAACTTATATGACATAGACAAGGCTTGGTCAGAGACTACATTATAAATACTCATAAAATGTGGTTTCTATTGAGGAAAATTTTTATTTTACACATGTATAATTTTATAGACAGCTAAGAGTGTTGGAGAGAGACATTTCTGATCAGGGTATCATTTTCCATTCTCAAACATCACACTTACACCACATGCTAATTTTGTATAAATTCCCTTTTTGCTTATGTCAATACTGGAAATATGGATGGCATAAATTACTATGACTAAGACAACAGAGATGAAGGAAGGTTGGGGAACCTTATATAAAGCTCGGCATAGTTAGTCTCAGCCATTTCTATATATGTTTAGTAGCCTCAAACACAGAATCAGTACTTGAGAACAGGGAGAGTACTGAAGATACCAGGAAACAAACCTCAACATTTTATGTGTAATGTAACTGCACAATTGTAGTGAAGTGACATTTTCTAGACATATCATTATGTATCAGGCAGTCTGCAAAACACATTGGAACAGCACAGGGGAAATTGTGAGATTTGTTATGGGCTGTGTACCATAAAATCAATCAATTCATCATCCCCAAAACAAGTACCTTCACAGGTAGGATCCCATTTGATGCATCAAACACCCCAACCCTAATACGTGTTCCTTGCAGCTTCTACTGTCTCGACTATTTGTCCTCCTTGAAAGAGATACTCTTTTTCTTCCTAAATTTGCCTATTTCTGCCAACAATGTGAATTAGACTTCTTGAGAGTTAACAGGATGACAGAGTTCTGGGGGATGGAAGTCTTTCAACAAGGACCTGGGGTCTATTTCATTTTTTGGACATGGTTTGAGGAAGTTACCAAAGAACATGGAATCTGGGTTTTGAAGTGTAGTAGAAACAACAGGAAATAGTGTCAATAGGATTGGATTCAGGTCTGTGTTCTGAGAATATGATTTCTTTTGTATCTTTAATTGTCTAGGCCATCATTCCCAGATGACCACTCTCTGAGGCTGAATCTATCTAGGCAGGACTGTGGTGCTCACGCATTCACTTCACAGCTTGGTCATGCAGAGATCTGGACTTCTTAGACAAAAGAACTAAACAATTCCTCTGAAAAAAGGATCAGGACCTCACCTGCATCCATGGAGAGCTCAAAATCAATACATTTTCATTAAATCTTTCCATTATGTTTAAAAGCATTGGATCTTTATAATCAAAACGATTCTGGAAAATTATTGAGCAGATTATATTGCAGGGTGCACAGGCCAAGATAAAAGTTGGATCACAGGGTGAAGCTAAAAAATCAGAAACATTTTGAAAACACTATTAAACAAAATACACACACACACATATATACAGATAGGAAAACACTTTGTTTTAAGATAACAGGAAAAAATCTTTAAGGAAGTTCATTGCTTTATATATAAATTCCTTTAATTGCAAGAGACATCATTTATAAAAGGAACATATCAGTGAATGTAGACTAGTGCAGGCTCTATGGAAAACCGCATGGAGATTTCTCCAAATATTGAATAATAGATCTTGCTGCACCTCCCCCTGCAGTGACCTTTAGGAATGGCTTTTGCCAAGGTCCCTAGGTCTGGCTGGGCGACCAGCATGCAGGGGGAGAACAGCAAAACACCCTGAAGCAGGGGAAGTACAGCGAAGTTCCCTGAAAAGACAGAAGCTTATCAAAAGATAACGACCACCAGGAACCACTACAAGAATGCTAAATAACCTTATCCAGTCTTTCTAGAACTACAAACTTTAATCCCTTATTGTCTTTCTAAACTTCCTTTTTTCTTCTATAAAGGTCATTGCTTGTTAATTAAAAAATCATATGAAATCCTTAAAACAAGGCTGACTCAAATGAAACATTACTAAACCCTGTAATAATTAAAATATAGTATAGGTAAAAAAGTAGTTAATAAAAAATACGATTATATAGTTTAAAAACAAAACTAATGGTCTATCTACTTAGAAATGAGGCTGAGTCCAGATGTAGATCACCGCCCTGTTGGTGATAGGCTGAGCCCATGAGCAAGCTGATTTCATTGATATTCATTGTTCCTGTGCTTTTGGAAAACATATATATACTGGTCACAAACTCAAAGAAAATTACACTCAGATTTTCACTCTTGAAGTGTGTCTGTTTGTCATTTCTTTAACCGACGCCCTGACCACCCTGCACGCTTCTCTCAACCCTGAGGTGGCCTCATCGTCTACTGCTGTGCTGGTCCGCGGCAAGATTTACCATATGATCCAGCAATCTCTTTCCTAAGTATCACCAAAGAATACAAAAACACTAATTTGAAGGGGTATATGCACTCTACGTTTACTGTAGCACTATTTACAATAGCCACGGTTGGATATAACCTAAGTATCTATCACCAGATGATGGATAATGAAAATGGGATATGTATACATGAGGGAATACTACTCAGCTAGTATTCAGGTCTGAAATCTTGCCATTTGAAACAACATAGGTGGAACGGAGAGGATTATGCTAAAAAAAGAAGTCACAATGTAAAAGATCCACTGGATGATTTCATGCATTTGAGAATATAAAGAAACAAAGCAAAGGAACAGACCCAAACAAACCCTTGAAATCTAATTGCAGAACTGAGGCTACCAGAAAGTAAGGTAAAAGAGGGGAAGAAAGGAGGAAGGAGCTCATGTACATGGTGAAGGAATAAGGGTGCTTGGGTGGGAAGCATGGTGTGGCAACATACGATGGCAGCACTGTGAAGCTATAGCCCTAAAGCATACACAGTGTTTTCAGTCATGGTCTCCATAACAGTGATCATAAAAATTGAAATCAACTTATCACTTTTGCATTAACCTGGGACTTATGATTCAACCTAGCTAGTTAAATAGTGGTTATTTTTGAATATTCTATTTACTTCCATTGTCTTTGTTCATAACACTTTCTTATTGTTAAGATTTATTTTATTTCTTTCTGCATACAAGAGCAGAGGTATAGCCCAGAGGTGTGGAGGGTAAGAGGGTCTACCAGAGACAGAGTGGGGAGCAGAACTAGCAGACTGACTGAAACACACTGCTGAGGGGAGCAGGGGACAAGGTTGGAGAGGTCTGCTGAGCCATGTGGGTAATTCCCTGACTGGGAATGGCTTCAGTGTAGTGCTGACACTTAACCCCTTGAGCCACCAGTGAGGCCTTAAAACCATTTTTATATAACTGTTAATAAAGTTATTAGGGCTGAACCTCACTTGTACACAAAGTCTACAGAGAGTTAAGCTTCCATACAGATAGAGGGAATAGTTAAGGACTTGAAAGCTTTTTGTTTAATAAATAAATACATGAAATACACAGTATCAGCAGAGGGCAAAGAAAAGAGAGGGAAAGATTATGGGTAAAATCATGTACTTGAAAGAATAAATACAAAAGAGTCGGACACATCAATTTGACCTACAAGAAATTAAACAAGTGAATAGAAATTATAAACACTAGGCCTCCCTTGTGGCGCGAGCAGTTGAGCACCACACTATGAAGCTGTCCGCAGTCTCTGCAGTGCTGGTTCGATCGCGGCCAGAATCCCAAATGACGAAGCAGACCTCTCCTGTCCCGTCTGCTGCTCCCCTCAGGAGTGTATTTCGTCAGTCTTCCTGTTCTGTGTCCCGCTTTGTCCCGGTGAATCCTCTCACCGTCCCACGCATATGGCCTGTACCCAGATTCTTGTATAAAAAATAAATAAATCTTGATGTCACCGGAGGCAGAGCAACATGGTGGCGAGGAGGTGCTGCGAGTAAGATCTCCCATTAAAAAAAAAAGTTAATAGGGAGGAAAAGCGGCAGGTCCCAGTGAGAACTGGGACATGGAAGATAAATGGACAACTCCAGCAAACTACCCGAAGAAGAAAGTTGCCATAAAAGAGGACTAGAAGGGAGGAAAGCACAGAACCCTGCTACCCTCCCCCACCCACAAAGTCGGCACTCTCCGACCAACAGAAAGGAGGAAAACAACAAACTAAAACGACCAAGAAGAACAAACTACGCATCAAGCGGGACTGGGAGTGGAAAGGAACTATCTCAGCCACCACACCCTGTGAACTGGAGCTGTGGAGAACCCTGCAGGATTCGCCGCGGTGGTGAGTGAATGGCTCCAGGCACCATTAGAGAACAACAGAGACCCGCGGAGGAGACCTGCACACAGCCGCGGGCCGGCAGGTAAGCTTGTGCTGAAAAGCGGCGCGCTTGAAAAGCAAACGCGGATCGGGATCGTGGCTGCCCAGGTCCCCGCGCCTGTGACCTAGGCTTGCGGGGAGATGCGCGGGTACTCTCACTGAGGTGAAAGCCCCTCAATGAGTAACCAGGAACCAGGCACCCAGGCACGGGAGCTGGGTGCAAAAGACTCCATTTTTGCGGACACTGAACTGGGTTACAGCCTGAGTCCTGGACCTGAGGGCTTTGGAACTGAGACCCAGGGCTCAAAATTTGGGGCGTGGGTTCTCCACGACAGTGGGGCACAAGGCAGACACAGCACCCCAAAGCCGTTGAGGTTTACCCTACCATTACCGCTCTGTTTCCTGTCCCACAGGGTGGAAAAATCAACTCCCCAAGGGCTCTAGGAGAGATCTCTGGCGCCACCTAGCGACTTGAAACCAGCAGAAGGCTCCTGGAGGAGCCAGTGGCCAGCTGGGAAGTTAGCCCATGCCAGACCCTTTCCGAGCAGTAGTCTGAGCCCACAGGGGGAGCGGGCACCCACGGCCGGGGCAGACCGGGCAGCAGAAGAGTGTGCCTGAGACCAGACGTGCAGGGAGTGCGCCCCGCATCGCCATTTTAGAACGGGACATTTCTTCAGTAAAGACTGCCTGCAGAAGGCTCCCTCAGGAGCCAGAGGTGAGCAGGGAAGCTCGCCCAGGCCAGGCCCCTTCTGGCCTGCAGTCCAAACCCAGAGCGGGAGCAGGAACCCACCGCCAGGGCACACCAAGCGCAAAGGAGAGTGTGTCCCCATATCAGCATTTGAAAACAGGGACCTTTCTTCAGTAAAGACTGCTTGAAACAGACAGATGGCCCCTGGAGGAGCTAGAGGGGAGCGGAGAAGCTCACCCAAGATGCCGCCAGTCCCAGCAACACAGTGTCCCAATGCATACGACAAAATAGAAAACGGACAGTAGGGAGTAGAAGAACCACACATAACCTAACAACTCCTCAGGAAAAAAGCACACCACAAAAAGAAAACGACCCCCCAGATAGCAATGACAATAACTTGGAAGAACTCATGAGCCTTCCAGAAAGAGAATTTAAAATTGCCGTGATTAAAAAAATGACAGAACTCATAAAGGAAAACAATGATCAGAAGAAGGAAATTGAGTCCCTAAAGAGGGAAAACAATGGTCAGAAGAATGAAATTGAGTCCCTAAAGAGGGAAGCAAAAGAAATGCAGGAGATCAAAGAATTAATGGAGGAACTAAAGAACTCTGGGAAAAGCAATGAAAGCAGAATAGATGAAATGGAAGAACGAATAAGTACTCTTGAAGAACAGAAATAAAAAGAACCAAAACAGAAAAGGAAAGAGAAGTACGAAGGAAAAAGAACGAAGAAATACGTCGGGAACTATCTGACTCCATGAGGAGAGGAAATATAAGAGTTATAGGAATCCCAGAAGAAGAGGAGAGAGATGTAGGAACAGAGAAAATATTCCAGGAGATAATTGAAAAGAACTTCTCAAATGTGAAGAAGGAGCTGAAAGTTGATACACTAGAAGCAAGAAGAACATCAAACCTCCACGACGAAAGGAAAAATACAGCAAGACACATAATGGTAAACCTCAAAGAATCCAGGATGAGGAAAAAATAATGAAGCTGACAAGAGGGAAGAAACAGATAACATTCAAAGGAAAACCAATCAGACTGACATCAGACTTCTCTGAACAAACACTACGGGCAAGGAGAGAGTGGAGGGACATAGTCAACAGACTCCAAGAAAACAGATGCCAACCAAGAATACTCTATCCCGCAAAGCTCTCCGTCCTCTATGAAGAAAGAATAAGGACCTTCAGAGACAAACAAAAACTCTGGAATTTCATTACGACTAAACTGCCACTCCAAAAAATACTACAAGGAATCCTAAAGCCAGAACCTCAGAGGGACGAAAAACAACGAAAAAAGGCCAAAAAAAAAAAAAAGTTATTAAAAGAATAAATAAATAAAATCAAAAGAAAGACAAACACAATGGCAGATACAGATGCCAACATATCAATATTAACTCTAAATGTAAATGGACTGAACGCTTCAATAAAAAGACACAGAGTTGCAGCCTGGATTAAGAAAAAA